TCGATTGTGTATGTGTAATTGCTGTGGTGTGACGTTCTCCCTGTTCATTCCAACCTGGCCCGTGTGTGGACCTAGGGCTCTGGAGTTCTCTCTTGAAGGTCTCCTTTTTTAACCAACCCTGGAATCCTTTCTTGTCCAACGGTGCTGTGACATGTTTTGTGTGTGTGTGTGTGTGTGTGTGTGTGTGTGTGCATTTTCTCTTTCCATGATATGATTCTGGCTGAGGATTCAGATGCAGTTCTTCTAACATTCCTTTGCTTTCTGTACACAAAGACAGAACACAGAATTTTTATTTTATTTTAGTGGTTTAACAATTAATCATCATGAGGAGGAAAGAAATAAATATGAGCAAACTCCAGGCAGTTAAGAGTGTTGAAAAAATAAGTTTCTTGCTTCCTTCAGGTCCTTTCATAATACTTTACTTCCCCCATTGCCTACCTTGAAAACCAATTCCATAATGGCAGAAGTATCTATGGGGTGGACAAAGGTAGGTTTATAGTTGTGAGTACGCAAAACAGTTTATTCTTGTATTATTTATTAATTATTGTATTATTTTCCATATGGACAGCTGTAAACCTATTTTTGGCAACCCCTTATACATCTTAACATAGCAAAGGAATAAAAGAGGTTGGCTATGGAGTACATTTTCCTAAAAACTTCAGCCAAAGGGTAGAAGGAATTATAAAATTGATTTCTAAAAATTAAGAAATCCATGGAGTAGGATTTCTTAATTAAAACAGAACCTTGAAAATAGAAAACAAAATCTATTTCTTACCGACACAGAGTAGAACATAACCTTCTCTTGTAGTTAAAATAAAGGGCTGACGTGATGACTGAGGATATCTTTGTAGATTTCAGTACCATCATAACTAAGACCTACAAGTACCACATTCTGTGTTGCCTAAGAAAACCCAGATGGTCATTGTCCTGTCTGCTCCATTTCTTTTGACTTGTGTAATCTGTGTACCGGTGTGTATAATTATCTGTCCCTCCTTTCCAGCTGATACAGTTTCAGTAATGTCTGCAAATAGGTTTCTCTGTGACTGCGTGGCACTGAGCAATATGTCCCACATCTAATATTGTGCTCTTCCTTAGAAGAAAACTAATAATGCTAACTGTAAAGTTAACTATAGCACAGTAAACCATCCAATTTTATGGTTCTAAGTTTTTATTCTTGGCAGTAGAGGTAGGCTTGGTAGTTAATTTTACATCAGGCTGCAACCCAACAGTTTGTATCTGACAGCTTTAAACAGAGAAAATGAATATTTTTAAAACAGCCCGGCAACTATTGCTATGAATCACATAATTGGGGACTGCCAGTGGATAGTGAGTAAAATCTACTCTGTTCTGTAATTCTGTTGCAACTATCTGCTCCTGCCGTGGAAAGAAGAGTGGACATTAAATCAAGACCACATTTTCTTTAGCTCCGAGGCTGCCTGTGCGAACTATTCCTCACTCGAGGATACACTGAAGCAGGGGGAAGTTCTTGCACTAAGCTTTTCTCCGTTTTCCTAAAGTGCCAGGTAGCCCAGGATGGTGAAGCAGGAGGAGGCAGAGAAGACCCAAGTTTGACTTCCTGTCTTGGGCATAATAATAGAACCTACCTCAGGGTATTGTTGGGACCGAGTGAGAAATGCCTGTGAATCTCTCAGTACAGCGTTGGTGGAGACCACTCAATACATGTTATCTATAACCACTGTTATCATCAGCTGTGTCCTTGGGCAATTGACTGAGTCTCAGTGTCTTCATCTGTAAGATTTAGAACATATGAATTCTTGTTTTATCATTGTTAGGTTGTAAGTACAAAGAGCACACACTGAGTGTGGGTACAGAGCCAGCCTTCACTATCAGTCCATTTTCTGTCCTCAAGAGTTCCAAAGACTGTAATTCTTCGGTGCTGGATCCAGAAATGTTACCACGTATGCATTTCATTGGTAGGATCCAGCAGGAAGCAACTTTATTGCATTACTTAATTTTACCTTGTCCTTGAGCCCTTTCTGTCTGATCTTCCTTATCCACCCCAGGAAACTAGCTTGGGCAGATCTCACAGTTTTTCTAGTCACATTCAGGAATTAGAGAGTCTCATTTTCAGACATTGGAAAGTTCAGTCTCATCTAAATCTGTCTATTTCTTACCCAGTTAAAAACTTTCCCCCTTTGCAGCTTGCTCCTGATTGAGGCTTGGAAACCCACAGTAGGCAAGAGGAGTCCAATTTGCCCATTGATGACACCTACTGGGTGCCTATCTTTTCATCCCTGTCCTCAAGGCTGTTTCTGATTCTTACAGGATGAGCGTGGGGAAGAGAGCGGAGAGGGAATGGGACACGGGAGTCTAAGCCGACCAAGCTGGTGTTGCTGTTCCTACATGGCAGCTACCCCAATGCTCTTCCCCTCACCGGCCGCTCTGGCGAGAGGAAGCTTCACCCAAGGGAACTTCCCACCTGCAGCTCTCTGATGCAGGTGGTTTCCCTGCTGATGCCTTCGGACTTCCCCTGGGGTCCAGGCCCTGCGGAGCTGGCTCCCTGCAGGCAGGGCTGTGCCTGCCATTGGTCGATGTGTGTCCGCTCCCAACAGGGGCTCTCTCACCCTGAGCCAGGGCCAACTGATGTCAGGAGAGAGCTGTAAACCCCGCTCTGTGAGCCCTGGTTCCAGGGAAAATAATCAGGTTTTCCTAGGACTTCCGTTCCCCAGGATCTGCTGCAGCCTGTGTGGAGCCCTTGGAGCCTCTGGATCTGGCTAATGCCCTCTCTCCCCCCTCTCAGGGGGAGGGAAGCGGTACATCAGTGGGCGAGAGGTGGGTATAGAGCCAGTGTGATGGCGAGCTCAGTGTAAACGGTGTGACTGCTTAGTTTAGATAGTTCTTGCTCTCTTTTTAAAAATTAATTTCCGAGAGGAAGGGAGAGAGAGGAGAGAGAGAGAAACTCCATGTCGAGAATCATTGATTAGCTGCTTCCTTCATGCCCCACATTGGGGATGGAGCCCATAACCCCGACCTGTGCCGTGTCGGGAGTCGAACAGTGACCTCCTGGTTACTGGGCTGACGCTCCACCTGAGCCACAGCCGCCGGGCTAGAGCGCTGTTCTCTCAACACCCAGGGTCTTTGGCTCTGAGTTCTCGGCGGAGACTTCCAGGCAACAGGAAAGATGCGCTTACTATCTTGTTTCAAAGGGGGCTGGCAGGCTGCGGCCTCTCGTCCCCCCCTCCCTCTCGGGGCGTCCTCCCCCTGTGCCAGCGCCAGGCAGCCAGGCCCGCCTTTCCCGACACGGAGCGCGGGGCTGCGCTCGGCCTACCCTGCCGCCACCCCGCCGCCCGGCCCCGCGGGTGGTGTCTGTGCTCCCGCTTCACATCCGGGACTCCGCTCAGCCCAGGTGGCGGCCGGGCTGCCCACGCATGTCCCAGGAGGCCGAGTTGTGCGGAGGTGGGGTCCACGCCTTTGCGGAGGAGCCACCCTCTGACCCCGAAGGAAGAGGAAGTTGTGCTTGGACCGTGACCCCGTTGACCCCAGGGGCACAGGTCAAACTAGAGTGAGCAGGGGTCCCCTTGGAACCGGTGCCCCCGTCGGTCACGTGGTCTGTTGCCCCTCCCTCCGACCGGGATGCCGCCGCTCACCGCTCACCAGCTGCCATCTTTCCATTGGGCTTTATTTCCATCGTGTCCCGCGCTCTGACTCTGACGCATCCCTCGGCCTCGCGTGCGGGAAGGGGGAGCCAGCGTGGCCGGTGCGCGCGGAGGCTGGGCTGGTGCCGTCAGTCTCCGGAGCCACCTGCGGGCGGGTCTTCCTCCAGGAATCCATCAGGTGTGTCCAGTGAGCAGGACATGTGTAAGATGGTTTTCAAGGTGCATTGTTTCTAAAAGGTCATACTTAACAAAGGTCAACCCAGAATATTTGTTAGCGTGACCGTCATTATTAATAACTTCTGGGGTTGTTTTTTAAAAAATGTATTTTCATTGAGCCCGGCCGGCCTGGCGCAGGGGTTGACCGTGGATCTGTGAGCCGGGAGATCACAGTTCAAGGATCACATGATTCTCTCTCATCTTTGATGTTTCTATCTCTTTCCCTCTCCCTTCCTCTCTCTGAAATCAATAAAAATATATTTTGTTTTTATTTTTTTAATGTGTTTTTATTGATTTCAGAGAGGGAGAGATAGAAACATCAATGATTAGAGAATTACCAAGCAGATGCCTCCTGCACACCCCACACTGGGGATCGAGCCCGAAACCCAGGCATGTGCCCTGACCGGGAATTGAACCAGGACCTCCTGGTTCATAGGCCGATGCTCAACCACTGAGCCACACAGGTCAGGCTTAGTAACTTGTTTTTACACCAAATTTTCACATCGTGTCCTCGAGGTGGCTCCGTGTGGGGACAGCCATGGGTTCCCCTGGTGCTCTCATTTCCTATGCAGGCTCCTCTGAAGTGTCTTAACCAACTTTGCATTGAATGTGGTTCTTTCAAAAGGTCCTTTGTTAAATGAAAAGAGCAAGATATGAAATTGTGTAGATAGAGTGATAACCAACTAGGTTTTTTTTGTTTTTTTTTAAATATATGGACAACTTGGAGATATTTTCTGACATGAACATATTTTTTTAAACACTTTAACATTCTCTGCTATTCACCTCTTGGAAAGAATAGATTTTTGTTGCCTTCAGATATTACAATAAAATGGTTCTTTATGAAACACCCAATTTATATAACTTTTGAGAGCTAGCTCTGGTTAAAAAATAAGTGAAGGAGTCTGTGGCCTCCACTAAGCTCAGCTCAGGCATGTGTCGGGCAGCGGGTGTTCAGCGATGCCTGAGGCCCTTCCTCGGGTTCTCCTGGGCCTCCTGCATCCTTTTGCTGTGTCTTCTGCTAACTCGCCATGCCCGCTCCTGCCTTAGCTCCCACCCGGATGTGATGGGACTCGGTGACGGTGATAATGTCCCGTCTTTGCTGAGAATCCGGGTAAAACATCTGCAAACATGAAAAGATGCTGAGTGGCTATGACGTCTCTCTCACAGGCACGGTGTCCATCGTCTACTTGACTTTCCTCATCACCTTGAAGGCTGCTCGTTTGGGGTTTCACTTGGAATTTCATTGGTTTATGCCAACAGAGTTTTTTGTACCAGGTGAGCTTTTCTAAAATAAAGAATTGATAACGGGGAAAAAAAAAGTAAAAATAAAATAAAATCTTGTTTCATTTATAACAAGCATGTCAAACTCACGGCCAGCAGCCCACAACGAATATTTTTGCGGCCCAGCCAATATAGCGGTATGTACCAAGAAACATTTTAACAAAAATTTTGTAACTTAATTTTTACAATATCCTGTTATACATAATTATTAATAATGAACTACATTTGCTAATGACTGATTACTATAATCGTATTGCATTCATTTCCCTTACGCGCCTTATGCACAGGCGAATTATTTCTCCCCACTAATACTAGCAGCGAATATTTTAGCAACCAATGGCCATGTCATTAGTCTTGGACCGACTTGTTTGGTGTGTGCAACAGGAAATATTTTGCTTTTGGAGAACAAGAAAAATAGGTTTATTTGCATTACACTTATTTTGTGCAGTTATTCAGTGTTTGGTAAGTTAACATTCAAGAAAAAATATTAATTTTTATTAAAATGTTCTATGATTTTGTTAATGATTACTCATTTATTTCAGCCCTTTGTATTCAGCATGTCTCTATCAAAATAAACCTATGTTGCTATGAAAATTGAAGCTTTTGTTTTTTTGCAGCCCACATAAATTTAAACCTTGTTTATTTGGCCCATGTTAGTCTTTGAGTTTGACATGCTTGATTTAGAACAAACTCAGTTTTATTCCATTTTTATCAGAGGGGGTTAAAAGCCCTACCTACACATCATCCCCAAATTTCGAAGACATGAGTAAAAAAGGTGATTATTCCAGTCACAATAATATAAATCCATATATATCTTAAATCTTTTAAACTATACATTCTAGTTTTTAATCAGAGTTCATTTAAATATAGCTAATTATTTGACCAAGGCTAGAGAAGTAAATAAAGTTACAGGTATTTGAAAATGAAAGGCAAATTGAAAAACCCCAATTATTAATTTATGTAGATTATCTATAAAATTGTTTTTATCCATCTATTTATTTCTATGCTTATTTATGTGTATAGCTAACTATGTCATAAACTTTATTCTATATTCGAAATTATAATACTAAGCCCCAACTCATCTTTGCTGTCCATAATGATGGCACCAAAAAGATCTTTCATCTATATCATGGTCAAGCATATGTGTTAGTGAAAACAGGTTGGAGTTGTAACAGATCACTCAAATCTCAGTGGCTTAAAACAAGACTACACTAGTGAGATCCAGTAGCAGATCTCTGCCCTTCACAGTCATTCAGAGACCCAGGATGAATAATGAACCACCAGCCCTGGATGGCAGCTCAGTGGTTAGAGTGTTGGGCCATGCACAGAAAGGTTGAATGTTCCTTTCCTGGTCAAGGGCATGTACTTGGGTTGCAAGTTCAATCTCCGACCCCAGTTGGGGAACATGTAGGAGGTAACCAATTGATGTGTCTCTCTCACACAGATGTTTCTCTCTCTCTCTCTCTTCCTCTCCCTCCCTTACTTTCACTCTCTAAAAAAAAGTTAATGGGAAAATATACCCTTGGGTAAGGATTAATCAAAACACACAAAAAATAAAACAACACCACCATCTCATGACACTGCCATTTTATAATGTGTTTATATGATAAAAACAGCACGTGGAGAGATCTGTAGGGTCTCATGCCAGCAATTAAATATTTCTGCCGGGAACAGGCATCCAGCACTTCCACTCATAAAACTGACCGGAATTAGCATTAGGCCCTGCCCAATCACAAGTGTGCCTCGAGGCGCAGTCTGCTGTGTGCAGGAGGAAGACCTGAATATTAGCACTGATAATGTCCACTATGGTATGTTTTTGTCCTAAATTGAATGAGATCAAGACATCTTTTGAATTAAGATCCTTTCTTCTTTGTACATTCTCAGATGATACTCAGCCATGATCTGCCTCTAATGTTAACCCTTGAACACCTGGTACCGGTATTTCTTTCTTTCCCAGGTCAGCTGTGGTGGTGTTTTAATCACAGACAACCCCTCATTTTGCATTTTGGACCTGTATAAGATGATCTCATACTTCACTTAAAGATCAATCTAGAAGCAGACTGCAAAAGACAAAGACTACTTTCTTCTAAATGCATAAATGAGGTTTGGCTTGAAGTGACTGTGAATTACAGTTGTCTAGCAGCTATGAGAGATGTCATCCAGGAGATGAGAAGGGAATAACGAGGCAAGCTGTTGCCTTTCTTCACGGAGGACACTCAGGGACACCCAAGGTATGCACATGTCCATCCAACACACACATTCCTAAATTAATTCCAAGTTACTGAAGCTAGTTTGGTGTTGACTTCAGTTTCTGTGTGTCATCTCTATGCTTATCAGTGGGAAGAAAATAATTCTGCAGGGAACTCTGACATAATTGTCTTTCAATAATTTATATATTGATTGGGAGAATTAGTTACTAACATATATTTTCCAAGTTCCTTTCACCATTTTTATCTGTGAACATATAAATATGTAGAGGCATACAAATGAACAGGTATACATTGTTTATTGTGTAGAAGTCAACACTAAACCGAATTTTTATGCTACTGAACCAATGCTAGGAAAGAGTCAAAAATTTTAGTTCAAGAAGTGAAAACCCTCCTCTTCACTCTGCAGAGCAAGGATAATAATTCCTAGGAGACCTTTTGCTGATAAGACATTTCCAAAGTATTAATAAGGAGCAGGCCTGTCCAAGCAAGTTCTTTGATTTTCAGATTTATTGGAAACAGCACAAACAATCTTGATATAAACAACTTTCTGTTCCTTCCCCAACATGTCCATCCAACACACACATTCCTAAATTAATTCTTAGATTGCTGACTTGGCAAAGCACAATCATTTGCATTCCTTTCAGATCATTATTTATATAACTCAGTGCTAGCTTTCCAACATTTCTTGCCTAGTGGCTCTTAAAATCAACAATCTGAGCCCTTTGGGGAGATAGTGTCAGTGTTAGGTGTTAAGGGGTAAAGCTTTGATGGAGACCATTTCCTACTCCTCTGTTTGCAGTGCAGGAACAGAGGGGATGAAATGGTCACAACTAGGATGGAAATCAGAAATTTTACCAATACGGGCTCTAGATATTCACTCAGTGGGGAAAGGTGGCAAAGAAATCAACTAAGAAGAAATGCTCTCTTTCTAAGCTTGCTTGGATTTTCATTTTACTTTGAAATATTTGATTATGTCAAAAGTAATATATTCTTGTTATTAAAAATTAAATGCTGCCCAAATAAATACAGTAAGGCAACATTCCCATATTATCTCACCACCCTCCAGAAGTAACTGTCTGTGTATATTCTTCAAGTTTATTTAAAAAATTTTATGGGATTCTCCTTCTCCCTCCTCTTCCTTCTTATACTTTCTCCCATTTCCTTCCTTTCTTCCTCTTCCCCCTCTTTATCTTTTTCCTCCCCTTCCTTCTCGTCTTCTTATTCCTCTTCCCTGTCTCCTTCATTCTCATCCCCCTACACCTCTTCTGATTCTGTTCTCTAAATTAGTATATGTGATATTGCTGGGTCAAAGGTTCTGACCTTTTAAATTTTTAGTGGATTTCCAATAAATATTTTGTCAATATATTATTAGTTTCTTTGCCAAATAAAGTATTTATTAAGCTACACCTCTCCAGACACTTTCCAATACTGGCTAGCATCCATCATTAATCTTTGATAATCCTGTTTTGTTTTTGTTTTTGTTTTTTTAAATTAAATCTTTATTGTTCAGATGATTACAGTTGTTCCTCTTTTTTTCCCCCCATAGCTCTCCTCCACCCAGTTCCCACCTCACCCTCTGCCTTTACCCCTCCCACTGTCCTCATCCATAGGTGTACAATTTTTGTCCAGTTTCTTCCAGCACCCCCACACCCCTTTCCCCCCAAGAATTGTCAGTCCACTCCCTTCCCATGCCCCTGTTTCTATTATATTCACCAGTTTACTCTGTTCATCAGATTTTTTATTCACTTGATTTTTAAATTCACTTGTTGATAGATATGTATTTGCTGTTCATAATTTTTATCTTTACCTTTTTCTTCCTCTTCTTAAAGAATACCTTTCAGCATTTCATATAATGCTGGTTTGGTGGTGATGAACTCCTTTAGCTTTTTCTTATCTGTGAAGCTCTTTATCTGACCTTCAATTCTGAATGATAGCTCTGCTAGATAAAGTAATCTTTTTTTTTTTTTGTCATAAATGACATTTTATTTTTTCTATAGCTGAGTAATATTCCATGGTATAAAGATGTAGCACATCTTTATATATTCATTTACTATGAACATCTTGGTTACTTTCATATCTTGTTTTTTTTTAATTAAATCTTTATTGTTCAGCTTATTACAGTTGTTCCTCTTTTTTCCCCCCATAGCTCCCCTCTACCGGGTTCCCAACCCACCCTCCCCCCTCACCCCCCCCACTGTCCTCATCCATAGGTGCACGATTATTGTCCAGTCTCTTCCCGCATCCCCCACACCCCTCCCCCCCCCCCAAGAATAGTCAGTCCACTCCCTTTCTATGCCCCTGATTCTATTATAATCACCAGTTTATTCTGTTCATCAGATTTTTTATTCACTTGATTTTTAGATTCACTTGTTGATAGATATGTATTTGTTGTTCATAATTTGTATCTTTACCTTTTTCTTCTTCTTCCTCTTCTTAAAGGATACCTTTCAGCATTTCATATAATACTGGTTTGGTGGTGATGAACTCCTTTAGCTTTTCCTTATCTGTGAAGCTCTTTATCTGACCATCAATTCTGAATGATAGTTTTGCTGGCTAAAGTAATCTTGGTTGTAGGTTCTTGGCATTCATCACTTTGAATATTTCTTGCCACTCCCTTCTGGCCTGCATAGTTTCTGTTGAGAAATCAGCTGACAGTCGTATGGGTACTCCCTTGTAGGTAACTGACTGTTTTTCTCTTGCTGCTTTTAACACATTGTTTGCGGGTAGTTTTTATCGTGCGCTAACAGGTGGCGCGGGCCATTTTTGCTAATTTTTTGCGCAGATGGCAATGTCAGTAAAATTACGATAACTTTAGTTTACATATTTATACGTTACCCGCATTCTACCGCTAGTCTATAAAAAACGTATTAGTACATGTCCCGCGCTCTACTACACTGGTAGAACGTATAAATACGTAAAATGTATAAATACATTTCCCGCATATAATGTGTTAAGATTCTCTCTTTGTCTTTTGCTCTTGGCATTTTAATTATGATGTGTCTTGGTGTGGTCCTCTTTGGATTCCTTTTGTTGGGGGTTCTCTGTGCATCCTGGACTTGTAAGTCTATCTCTCTCACCAGGTAGGGGAAGTTTTCTGTCATTATTTCTTCAAATAGGTTTTCAATATCTTGCTCTCTCTCTTTTTCTGGCACCCCTATAATTCGGATGTTGGTACGCTTGAAGTTGTCCCAGAGGCTCATTACACTATCTTCATATTTTTGGATTCTTTTTTCTTTTTGCTTTTCTGGTTGGGTATTTTTTGCTTCTTCGTATTTCAAATCTTTGACTTGATTCTTGGGATCCTCTTGTCTGCTGTTGGATCTCTGTATATTATTCTTTATTTCAGTCAGTGTATGCTTAATTTCTAGTTGGTCTTTTTTTCATATCCTCCAGGGTCTCACTAAATTTATCGGCGGTTTCTAGAAAATTCTTGAAAAACCTTATAAACGTGGTCTTGAACTCTATATCCAGTCATTTGCTTTCCTCCATTTCTGCCATTTGTGACCTGTTTCTTTGTCTCCGCATTTTTTATGCTTCCCTGTGTTGGTAGAGTGGCTTTGTGTGCTAAGTGTCCTATAGGGCCCAGTGGCTCAGCCTCCCCAATTACCTGAGGTGGACACTCTTGGTGCACCCCTTTGTGGGCTTTGTGCACAGTCTTGTTGTAGTTAAGCTTTGATTGTTGTAGGTATCACTACGAGGAATTGACCTCCAGGCCAGTTGGCTGTGAGAATCAGCTGTGTCTGCAGTGGGAGAACTTCTGTGCTGGAGACACCTTTTTGGGGCAAGACTTGCTTCAGTGGGGCTTTGGTGCTCACTGAGTCTGACCCCTGAGTGTGTCCCTTATGGATCTAAGGAGTTGTAATCTGGATTGGTCCCACTCTGATCACTGGGTACACTGGCTCTTGGATCTAAGGAGGTGCTAATTTAGCCTCTTCCTGAGGCTGCCCAGCAGGAGCTACGAAGAGATCTGCAGATTCCCCTTCCTAGTTTGGGGTTTGGAGGTGCCCAGATGAGGCCCACCTGTGAAGCAATGCAAGCTGCTGTGGGGCCTTGGGCCTTCTCTTGGAAGTTCTGGGTCTGTCTGGCCCAGCTGCAGTTTGTTAGGTAATTTTCAGATTGCAAAGGGCCAGGGTATTCATATGCAAAAGCCTCTGCCGCAGCTTGGGTGGGACAGGGTCTCAGGGAATCAACAGGGCAGAGAAAACAGCTATGGCTGATCCTCAGTCCTGCCCTAAGAGGCCCCACGTCTCAGTGTCCCGGTAATCGCTGCAAGCACCTCTGAGAGAAAGCCGCCCTCAAGTTCTGAGTTCTGCCCGCTGCCAGACAGTCCAGTTTCTCCCCGTATGAGTCTGGGTCCCAGAGACTTCCCGGAACTGGAGTTCAGAGTAGTCGGGGGCTTGTGACTCCCTCCCGATTCAAAAAGACAGCCGCGTCCTCAGTTGCCAGCCCTTGCCGCATGTGCCTCCGTACCTCTGCACTTTACTTCTGCAGCTCCTCTGAGTCTCAGTGTGCTTTTCTCTTTCCTTCTAGTTGTAGAATTTCCACTCAGCCAGCCTTCCTGTAGTTCTGGATGATGTCCGTTTTGTCTTTTAGTTGTATTTTTGAATTTGTTGTGGGAGGCAGCAATTTCCGGTGTTTACCTATGCCACCATCTTGGTTTCCGGTAATCCTGTTTTAATTTAAATTTATAATTGTTCGTTTTAGCTTCTTTTCATAAGTTTATTGCCCCATAGTATTTCTTCTATGGGTTGCCTTATATGTACATTTCCCCCCATAGTGGGTTATTTAATTTTTAAAATACTGATTTTAATATATATGTTAATATGTATTAGACATATTAGACTTTTGTCTTTTCTGTGTATTGTCTATACTTTCCCCTGATTGCTTCTGATTTTTTAATTTTCTTTATGCTATTTTTTGCCTTGCAGAACTTTCAAATTTTTATGGGAACCTATCTATCCATAATTTATTTTATTGCTTCTAGGTTTCATATCATGCTTGGTTAGAAATGCCTCCTGCATTTTAAGTTTAT